CAGCGCCTCTCACCTGATAATAGTGCTGTGCAGCCTTGTGGAAAGGAACTGAAATAAAAACAGGGCAGCAGTGCTTAGCTACTTAGTCTTTCATGCTTCTTTTTGCCTGTCTGGATTACATCAGTCCATGTAAATAAGTGTGCTATTGATTGAAACGTCCATGTTCCGTTGGGCCAATTGCATGTTAGAAATCCAGAGCTCTGCAAAGCAGGTCTCTTTTCCTTTCTCTTGATTAGCAATTGTATAACACTGTATAATTGTATAATTATAAAAATGGCCAATCCGTCTTCCAAGTCTGCATTTCTATGGATATCATGAATTAACAGAAAAGCCAAACATGGTACCAGATGTGAAATATGACAGTGCTGTGAAATGACAAAGGATAGAACTTTTCATTATTATTACTACATGCTTTCATGATGGAGAAAAAAGGATCTGCTGCCTGTGCGCCGTTTGGGCCCTTGACTGGGGAATAAATCTCATCCCAAATATTTATTAGTCCATGACCTTGTAAGCATGAACTTGCCAACTTCATTCCCAGTGCAGCTCCACTCACAGTGATGAAGTTGTGTGTGTGTGTGTGTGTGTGTGTGTATGTGCTGCAGGACTGGAACTTCAAAGGATGAAACAGGTAAAGGGCTTCACAGCCTACACTGATCTATGTTCCTGATTGTATTCTATAGCTAGGAAACAAAGGCAAAGATGACTTCAGGCATCACTGACAGGGGTTCACAAAGTCACTTCCTTCATGTGTGCAAGTGCAGCTGGTTCAACTGCTAAGTTCTGAGGAGTCATCAAATAATTTCTTATTTTGGGGCTGCAGACCTGGTTCTCCAAGGCTACTGATCTCAGAAATGGGGCATGAGCATGTGGGCTGCATATGATCAAGTCATGGGATTTTAATAAAGCACTCTTCAACACTAGGAGTGAGTAGCAGCCCACGTGTGTGCCCCTGGGCTGTGAAGTGAAATTCATTAGCTACAGTCACTTTCATAAGCCATTGCTTCTTGACTGTGTGCAATCACAGGCCTGTAAGGGGTGTATATGTTGTATAGGTGCTGAGTACACTTAAGAGACAAACTGAGTTGTGATCTTAGGCTTCCTATCCAGTCCATTAAATGCAAAGCCATCATTCTCCACTGTTGGTTATAAGAGCTTGGTTAGTTTTTACTGCCTGCTAACTGCTTGGCATCCTATTGACAAGAGTATCATTCTCACTCTGTTGCCCAGAAATGTTATCCCCAAATTTATCATCAGCTTTGGTAGTGGGGTGGGCACTCTGGGGAATTTTTAGAAGACCAAAGATCCAAAATGGGCTCTGCAGATGGAATTCTACTTTGATTATCACATTAATTTTAAAATGATGATAAAATTAATTATGTTTTATATTACTATCTCATTAAGATTCAGTAATAAAAGGAGATGATAAGAAGGTTACTCAGCAGAAATGTGGGTACTTTTGTGGAAAGGTAATAATCCATCTGTCCTTGAAGTGTTGTTCTCAATAAAAAAAGAATCCAAATATGATAACTGTGGCTATCAAGTGTCACCTGTTCTCTATATTGCCTGAGACACTTTTTTCTGCAGTTTAGCTGTATAAGTAAAATTTAAGCAACACTGGCAGAATCCAGCAAACAGTACATTTTGTTGTAAGCATGTAAATGATTTCATTACAGCTTTGCAGATGTTAAAAATTAACCGTGGCAGGCGGTGAAGACAGATGGATAAAGCACTTGAAAGAGTTAAGAATCCTGAGCTGTAGTCTCAGCAGTTTGCCACTCACTGATTCATTTAATGTAAAGCCTGAGAAAGTAGATCTTGACTTCAGGAGCCATTTCCTGAAGCTTCCACATACTTCACTCTTGTTTGAAACAGAAAGAAACAAACTGTAGAGTCTAGGAAGATCCAGCAAAACACTCAGGTGCCTGTCTTATCTTTTATTCCATAGTGGCATCTGAAAAGTATGGACCTAACTCAAGGCCCAGCTTAGCTCATCCCATAAGTAAGAATTTAGGGGGGAAGGCACCAGGGTTTCACTGAAAGGTCACAGTGAAGGCAGTGCCCCCTGGAGGACAAGGTAACATGAAACTTTCTATTTTGAGAGGTCTGGTGAATCAGTTTGCTAAATTGCAGCCAAGGGGAGCAGAGACTTACATACTTGTGGTCACCCAATTGTGAGGGACCATCTGCACCAGCTTAATGTTCTTAAGTCCATGAGGCTTGATGGTATTCATTTCAGAGTAAAGGAATTAATGAATGTTATAGCTGGACCCCTCTCAACAAATTACCAAGGTCTTGGTAGTCTGGGAACATCCCTGCTGACTGGAAGCTAGCCAGCGCTATAAACAACTACAAAAGATACAGAAGACTCAGGAAACCACAGACCTGTTTTGCTAACCTCAGTCTTTATAAAAAATACAAAGAATATTGTGCTGGGGGTATTGAAAGACGTTTGAAGAACAGAGCTATTATGAGGCATAGTCGACATGGGCTCATTAAGAGCAAGTCCTGCCTTAGTAATTTTATTTCCTTCTACGATAAGGTCACCTGCTTTGCAGATGAATGGAAGACAGCGGACATAATCTTTCTGGATTTTAGTAAGGCCTTTGATACTGTCCTTCACGGCATCCTTCTGGACAACCTGTCTGTTGTGGAAATGCTGAGTCATGGCCTGAAGCAGTGATTGAACACCTGGTGGGAAGGCAGGGCCAACCCAAAGGAGCTCAGGTGCATGCACTGCAGCTAAGTGACCAGAAGGAATGTAGTCAGGATCCACCCCTTCCCACTCCTCATTTAAGGGTTGGCAGAGGAGATGAGGATATTTCTCTGGAGATCCCTGCCTACCTGAGGCCTTCTAAAGGTAAGCAGTTTTCCTTCATTTTTGTGTCCACAGCTGCTGTACTTGGGCTTGTTCTCGTTTGCTGCAGCTTAGGATTGTGCCACTCTACAATTATTGCTGTACTTTTGTAAACATAATAGCATTACACTGTCCAATGGTGAGACAAACAGATGTATGCTGTGCTAGGGAGTAAACTGGATCAACAGTGGAGTTCTGAAATTTACAGTGAATTGGTCTACGTCTATCTGGAAGATGATAGTGCAAGTCTAGGGCCAGTTTGTTCAATGTTGTCAGCGATCTGGGTGTAGGAGTTAAGTGCATCCTCAGTGAATTTACTGATGACGCTAAACTGAAAGGTCCTATTGACTCCCTCGAGGGGCAAGAGGTCTTGCAGAGCAATCTAGATAGATTGGAGCACTGGGCATTTATCAATGGCATGAAGTTCAATGAAGGAAATATGCTGAGTTTTACTCCTGGGACAGAGCAATGACAGACACAGGCACAGTTGGGAAAGGATGGTAAGGTTCTCAAAAGCATCCAAAGGAGAGCAACAAAGCTGGTAACAGGGTTGGAAGGCATGTGCTGAGGAGAGACTGAGGACACTTGGGCTGTCCAGTCTGGAGAAGGGGAGGCCAAGAGGTGACCTCTCTGCATCTCCCTGGGGAGGGGAATGGAGAGAGAGTTGCTCTACTCCTAGAAACTGGATGGGAACAGCGCAAGCTGTGCCATGGGAGGGGTGGAGTGGACATCAGGAAAAATGCTGTGAGTGCGATCAGACACTGGAATAGGCTTCTTAGAGAGGTGGTTGATGTCCCATGTGTATCACTGTTCAAGAGGCTTTTGGATGATGCTTTCATTAATTTTTAACTCTTGTTTAGCCCTGATGAGATCAGACAGTTGGACTATGTCTCAAGGTCTTTTCCAACTGAACTATGCTATGCGTATGCTATGCTATTCTGAAGTTATTCTTTAGCTAAACGGTTCATGCTTCCTGCAGCACTGTGGTGCATGCTCCTGAAGATTATGTGGTAGCTTCAGGTAACTTTGAAAGTAAAAGTTCTTAATAACTCAAAACAGTGTCCTTAGTGCTATTTAATTTCATACACAAATTCAGTTTAACTAATGTCCTGGCTTTGCATTGCAACGCTTAATCTAAATCTGAATGTCTCGGTATGGATCATGAACTTACTGGGGATACACAAAAAATACTAGCAGCTGCAGACCAAATCAGCTGGATGGTAGTGCTCAAAGATCTGCAGTCAGTGGTTTGATGTCTAGGTGGAGGAACGTAACAGGAGTCTGTGTTGGGACTAGCACTACTGAACATCTCTTGTTGACATGGACAGTGGGGCTGAGTGCACACTCAGCCAGTCTGCAGCAATAATGATAGGACAAGGAGTGATAGTTTTGAACTGAATAACTGGTGAATCAGGTTAGATGTTAGGAGGCAATTCCTTACTCAGAGGGCAGTAAGGCCTTAGCACTGCTGTCCAGAGAAGCTGTGTATGTTGGATGCCCCACCTTATCCCTGGAGGTGCTCAAGGGCAGGTTGGATGGAGCCCTGGGTAGCTTGAGCTGGTGGGGGCAGCCAGGCCATGGCAGGGTGTTGGGCCTGAGCGGGCTTTATGGTCCATTTCAGTCCAAACTGTTATGTGATTCTGTGAGCAGGGCTTCTGAGCAGTGAGGAGAGTATATTAGTTATGAGAAATTTCAGCATGTGTTCTGCTGAGATCCACTGGAAGAGCAGAGCTTCAGTACATAGCAGCATCTTTGTGGTATCTGTCCCAGCAGATGCAGAATGAAGGAGAGAGACAGTGATGTGTAGGCCCATGTGACTGTCCTCCCAGAAGCATTGGGCGCGGTGCACATGCCAGGGAGTGACTACTCTTGGCTTTGGTTTGTGGTGTTTTGTTTTTTTTTTTTTAAACACATGGAGTCAATTCTGAGTCTTTCTCACCAACGGCCTTGTTTTCCAGTGTTTTGGAAGCCACCATTCCCTGGTGGGAAGCAGGAAGGAACAGTTGCATTCTTGCTTTCATTTGCAAGAGAACTTTCTGTTGCCTCCATTTTTCATTACTGTCTGCATGTTGCAATGCCTTATATGAAGAAATATATAGTATAGCAACAATTTTGTATTATGTGTCAGTAAATAGGCAAAAAATTGTTCTGAATTGAACATTTATTTTATAAATGTAATTTCAAATGACTGTGTATTGCAAACTGCCACCCAGCACATTCAGCAATACTGCCTCGCTATCAGAAGACATTATTCTGCTTCCAAATTTGATTTGTGTGAGAAGAGAGTCTCTTATAAATTACAATTTAGGTTTAAGTGTTGACTCATTTTGCTATTGAATTCTCTTATTCTGAGCCTGCATCACTAAATTATAACTTTTAGAAGTTATACAACCATTATGTCTCACTGCACAGTCTTCAGAAAATAGGGTTTCTATTTCCTCCACTAGAGTTTGCTTGTTTAATTTTGGCATTTTGTTTTTTCATGAAAACGTTAACAGTACGATCTCAGTCTCCCTTCTTCCCATTATATATAGTTACGCTGTTTTAAAAACAGTTATGCCTAGCTTTTTTATTTCTATGACTTTCTGTCAAATACTTCAAATAACTTTTTATCAAATAAATACTGCAGCCTGCCGTTTTAAACTAACTAAAACCGCTTACCTTCTTAAATTGATTTACTCTACTTAGATCCTTTATACTTTCGTACTGCACAGTACTGAATTCAAATGTTAAAAAATCACATGCTTATCTTTATTTTGTGTTACACTACATTGCCTTATATATCTCCAATCTGGTAGTAGATTACAACTTGTAATGCTGCTGTGTTAGCTTTGGCTTGTTGTTGTCATTAGCCAATAAATAGGAATGACATAATTTCTCTCAGCTTACAAAAGAAGGTATATGCTGTTTGCAATGGTTAGCATTAGTATGGCAATTAGGAAGTAAGGAAGACAGGTGAAGAATTTGATATTTGGTTCTGAGGCTATGCATCATGTTACAAATTCCAGGATAGATCAAGTTACAAATTACGGAATTGGAAAAAAAAGTACTGAGTGTAGGTCTATTTTTAAGGTTAGGGGGATTTATGAAGCTTATGATAAATGAAAGAGTTTTGGATGGATGTGATGTGGGCTGGTTGGGTGCTTCATTGGGTTACTAGTAATATATATAAAGCATAAGTGGCACTCAGCAGGGCTGAAATTCCAGTTAGAACAATTGTGAAGGCAAATCAGTGAAACAGCACAATTACAATGGTTAGTTCCTCTTTTAGGTTTGTTGTAGAGGGCAGTACCGTGTTTGTCAAATGGCAAGTAGTCACCATGTGGCTTTGAGTCTTGGAGGGGTTGTAGGCCTCATGTAAGGATGAGGATATGGCCATGTATTCATTCATAATTTGTTTTGGATAGGCAAAATGGTAGGGAGGAGTTAGATTCATGTGAGATATTGGTTTAATCTTGAGTATGGCATCACTAGTCTCCACACTAAATGCTTGAGAAACTCAACAAACAATCTACCCCACCAAACACGTACTCTCCCCCTCCTGGGCTTAATTCTAGCTGCTACAGGAAGGTCAGCCCAATTTGGCTGACCCTTGACTCCTTGCAGCAACAGAAGTGTAAATCCTAGTTTCCATTCTACTGCAATAGTAGTAACCAGAATCTTCTTGCTTATTCATACTCATCCCCTTCCAACCACTAACAAAACAGCCCTAGCCATATGCCCGTGTTTAGGTGCACTCTCAGCCCTCTGCCAGCAGGTGCCCTCACTCAAAACAACATAAAAAAAAATCATTCCTTTCTCCACCTTCCGCCAGCTAAGCTTAGTAATAGCCTTCATTGGACTTGATCTCTCACGGCTAGCTTTCCTTCACGTCTCAACCCATGCCTTTATAAATCCCTCCCTAATATTAGCCTTATTCTCCCCTAAACTCTTAAGGGACCCATAAAACTTCAGCAACCTCACTAATCCCACCCCCTCACATCAAACCAGAGGGGTGATTCCTATTTGTGTATGTCATCCTGAGCTCAATTCCAGACAAACTTGGAGGAGTCCTAGCATTAGCCACCTCCATCTTAATCCTATTTCTTGCTCCTTTCCTACATAAATTCAAACAATGAATATTAACATTCTGCCTTCTTCCTATGGTTAAGATCATGTGTCTACTGGGCCATGCTACATGTAAAATTTGACAAGGTCATTTTCAGCAACAACTGTAGGCAAGGGAGAGGTTGGGAACAGCAGAAGTAAAACCAAGAGGGAATTTTTAGACTTAATAAGATAGTTTCCTTTGCTTTGAGGAGAGGATTTCTTTTTTTCTAGTCTGCAGCTGTATGGATGAGAGATCCTTAGGTCAAATCACTCAGTGTGTTTGCTATTGTATGCTTTAATTTGCGCTTGTTGGGAGCACTTTGACTTCTCCTTCTCTGGAGATATTCAAGACTTGTAAGGACACCAACCTGTGTGACCTGTTGCAGGGCACCTGCTTTGGCAGGGGGCTGCATTCAATGATCTCTTGAGGTCCCTTCCAACCCCTGCAATTCTGTGATTCTGGGACTTTATTTCACCTTCCTTCTATACAAGCCAAGTCCATCAAACTTTTGCTGTGTGGTTTATATACAACTTTTCTGGCAGGAATTCAAGACAAATTTGAAGAAATACCTTTGCCTGGTCACATACCATACAACTGGGATTTAGCACATCCCATCCCAAAACAGTTTGAAGGTCACAGACTTCTGCCTCGCACCCAGGTACAGTTCTGACAGCTATTGCTTTCAGCATGGGTTTAGCATCATCAAACTTGTCAAACTTAGCATATAAATGGCTCTTGGAACCTGCAGGCAGCCCATTATGGAGAATGTATCTTATTAACAAAGGTGATATTAGAAACTCACACAAGTAACTAATGGCATCGAATGCAAAGTACATCAATATGCTCAGAGACTGGTGAGCGATGTTTTCCAATTAAGGCAACTGTTTGACCTTCTGAACTATAAATAAACTGTCAGAGTCCCTCATCTCAGAGACTGGCTTTTACTGCAACACTATGCCATAGAACTCGGATGTACTTACAAGGCTAATTCTGGAGCAATCTAATGGATGGGGTGAAATTTTAAACACTACTGCCTCAGAGAAAAGCATTCTCAAATTTCTGCAGTATTGGCAGAGTTGCATGCCTTGGAACAGAGAGCACCAGCACAGAGTGGGTACCACATTCTTCAGCGGAGCTGCATTCACCTGAGGCAAACCACTTTGCTTATACAAACACTGAGAAGATGTGGATTTTTTAATGGCAATAATGTGAAAATGTAATAGTTCCTAAGGGTTGCTGAACTATTTTCCCGGTTAAAACCTTAAATGATTTACTGTTTCTAGACATCTGATGCATGTTTAGATTCTCAGTGGGAAGTTCCACTTGCAAAAGAAGACTGAAGTTAGTGGAAGTCAGACTTTTCTTCCCTGTTTCAGAAGTGTACTATTTCTCTTTCTCTGGGACAGACCAGTTGTTTTGGGTGGCATACATGCCTTGAACCCTACCCTGGATATAAGCACAATTATTCAAATAATGTACTGGTGTTTTAAAACCTCTTCAAATTCCAGTAGTTTTTGAAAAAGAACACAGAGCTAAGATGTGGCACTTTGCATCAGATATAGAAGGATGGATGGCTCTTCTCGGTGCTGACTGACCTTGCCCAGTATCTTTGATGCCTGTTTGTCTTCATTTCTTCTATTGGTACTCTAAACTGTTCTAAGAATGGTGCAAGAAGGAGCATTAGAAGGGAGAAACTCTATCATATTTGACAGCTATTTCTGCTGTGTCAGCTCCTGCCAGCTGAAAACAGAGATCCTGCGTTCATGGCAGCAGCTGAAAGATACTTAAATAAAATGGGAGACACAGACAGTATCCAGAGATGATAGTTTTGCCTAGTGTCTGAGTTGTCTCAGTGCATATCTAAAGATGCCTTATATATCCATGTAATGTCTTGCCCTCATACTTGTTTGGGGGGGGGAGGGAAGGGGGAAGGGGAAGGCAATTAATAACACCAGTTCTGTCACTGAAATCAGGAATAAAACTCATTAATGCTAATGTAGCATTAAAAAGCAGGCATTTGTTACTATGACCAGATGCACGGGATCCACCTAACGTGCATAGCCAGGAGCTAAAAGCATGCAGATTATATATACTGAACATGTGTGAATATTCATACATTTTCCATGGAGTGCCTGCCTATTTCAAGAATTGCTATATTAAAATCTAATATTATGCATGCTCTGTGTTAGTATGGGGTCCTTGTAAGGGGCCTGTGGTTAATTAATTGCCAGGTATCAATTGACCCCTTGGGAAGTAGTTAGTTCTTCTAATTACTTTCACATATTTCTTTCAAAATACCTTTTAATACATCTTCTACAGAGTCCTCTACCTCTTATAATTACCACTATGCAGATGCTAGTGACATTGCACATCCCACCAAACCCTTGTATTAATGTTAAAACCAGATTTTCACTTTCATATTAATTCCCTCACTTTAAATAAATGCATTACTTATCATTATAAGAAACATAGAACCTAGTCTTACACAGCCTGAGTTAATTGCAAATGCAATGGTCCTTCTTTCTTGACAGTCTATCCTGATGTTGCAGGTGGCTTGACTCTACTGTAATGAATACATAGGCTGACTCCATTGAGTCTGACTGCTGCGTGGGTGGTGAATTAGATCTGGAAGGGTCCTCTCCACTTCTCTTCATCTAGCTATGTTGTCGGGTACACCCAATCTCCAGGTTGGTACCAGTGTACAGGTCCATCCAACGGTAAGCGTGCACGTACAACGTACCTGCAGAGAAAAGACAAAACACTTCTCAAAGATATCACATATTCTTTAGCCTTTTGTTCCTCAAGGAGGCGAATATCACCTCCCTCACCTATAGATTCCCATATGAAATCTCACAAAGACCAACCATAGAATGGCTGGAGTTGGAAGGGACCCCAAGGGCCATCAAGTTTCAACCCCCTGACACAGGCAGGACCACCAACCTCCAGATCTGGTACTAGACCAGACTGATCTTTTCTTTAGAAGTGGACCTCATCCTGATTCTTAGTAAGGCAAGTAAGGCACTTGGCCATTTTAATTTTGATTCTTGGCATATTTTGCCTATTTGGCTTTTTAAACTCTGATTCATTCTTTCTACATTATCGCTAGACTGAGATCTCCTCAGAGCATGGTGATTGCATTTTAGCATAATTCTAGCTAGGTTTTGCACTATTTCTGTGATGAAATGTGGATCTGTATCTAAAGATATCCTTGCAGGTACCCCAAATCTGGGTGTAATTTCTTTTAATAAAACCTTTACTACTTCAGGAGCTCCGTAGGTGTAACAGGGAAAAGCGTCTGGCCATCCTGAGAAAAAGTATCTACTAGTACCAGTATGTTACCCATACTCACATCACCGCAGTAATCCACAATAATCCATCTGCTGATAATCTCCTGGATGCTTTCCTTTCTTAGCTGTTCTGAGTGGAGGTTGTTTAGGTGGATGGGGATTGTTTTTCAAACGCAGATCGCATCTTTTCACAACACTATGATTCCTGCCATTCACACACTTAAAACTTGGTGTCTCATACTTCTGGTGGTTGCCTCTATTCCCCAGTGTGTCAGTGATAATCTTCTGCCAGTTTATTCATAAGAGATTGAGGGATAATTGTCTATTTATCTGGAGTTATCTACCACACTTTGCCGTCTTTAACCACTTTTCATAATGTTGCCAGTCTCTCATCTTTAGCTTGGTAATCTGGGGTTTCTTTTCCTAATTATTTATATTTGTCCGCGATAAATAATAAGAGTTCCTTCCATGGCTACTTCAGCAGCTCTATTGGCAAGTCAATTGCTGTAATTCACTGGAGTGTTATTGAACTGATGTGCTTTACAATGCATTATGGCAACTTTCTAAGGAGGCAGTACACTTTCCAGTAATTCTATAATAATGGGTCCATACTTTATTTGTGATCCCTGGTAGGATAGCAATCCTCTTTCCTTCTGTATTACTCTACGGGCATGCACTACTTCAAATGTAAATTTTGAATCATTCCATGTGTTGACTTTTTTCTTTTTAGTAGTTCCAGTGCTCTCAATAATCTGTCTCCGTGCCAGAACTCCCAGGGCACTATGCAGCCTTTCATGCACAAACAGTTTGAGTGTTTTTTCTTGACTGGTCTGGAGTTCAGCTACAGTTGTACAATCACACATTTGGTCCACCTTGATCATCCTGAGGTTCCTCCAGCTCATAACAATAGCATTACCATGTCTTCTACTTCCTCAGCTATTTCAAATTCAGAAGGTGATTCCTGTAACACAGAGACCTGGGCCTCTATGGCTTTGTCCTTAGGGATATGTACTTGAATTTTTCTGTCTACAGGTGTAATTTGTTCATAACTTCTTTACTATATCTCTATCCAGAAGCAGACATATTTATGCCACATTCAGGCCTAAACAAGAACTGATGAAACAATGATGTTTTAGTGCCCACCTATTCTCAGAATTGCTATTCATAGTAGAATTAAGCACGCTATATATGCACTGTGTTAATATGAGGTTCTTGCTAAGGTTCTTTGGTGGCTGGTGTGGTTCCACTGGAAGGTGCTATCCTGCCAAAAGGTCACATGCAAAGTAGGTCAGCTTCCCTGTTTGGTGAAGAAACTGTTTACAAAAAAATCAGGTGCTCACTAAGCTTCTAGTTTTCACAACAACTTTGTTATGGTGCCTATTTTAACAGTTCTAGCAGGGTACACAGCTTGTGGAATGCTGAGACTTTACTTTTTGGTTTACTTAGGAAAAACAACCTTCCCTAGGCAGAATGTCAATGTACTGAAGACTCTAAGTTAATTGTTGAAGACTGAATTAATTGCCAATAACATAGGATTTACTATTATAAGTACTTCAGCAGTGGCTAATACAAATGCACATAAAATAGGGAGCTATATGAACTTTAGACTTCCAGGCAAAATCCCAGAAGTCAGCGGTCCTCACCAATACATCACCAGCAATCTTACCTGAATAGAGGGAAAAGACAGAAGAACATCAGCGTTGTTTTAGAAACCAAAAGAAAATGAGATTTTAGTCTGCCAAAAATTTTAAGTACTAGAAAAAAAAAAAAATCAGCTTCTTTTTTTTCTTGTCAGTGTTGTTACTCGTTTCACAAGATTCCAACATAGTTATGTTTCTTCATTGCAGTGATCGCAGTGATGGGATTGCAAAATTCTCCCTCCTGTGAAAGACACACACGCAGTGCATGAAGTAGAGCACTGTGTCCTATTCATTACAGCACTGTGACTTTCCACCAGTGCTTCAAAGCCAGACATGAGAAGAGGCATGTAAAGAGCAAAAATTAATGAAGCACAGCACACTGCAGGTAATTTACAAGCACTTAAGTTGCTGCTTTAGTTTGCTTACAGCTTTGCCTTGCGCCTTTGTGCTTTGACCCAAGCATACTTATCTTTTGCTGTGATCTTGTCTTTTGCTGTGATAAGGATATGAATATCCAAGGCTTCAAAACCTGTTACATCAGAAATAACAGAACAAAGCACTAGAAGAAAAGAGAAGTGGAGCAATACCTCACATAGGCTGAGGAACAGTCTTGTCCTGTGTTTTCTCCTGCTTTTTTGCATTCATGTAAGCTGCAGGAAAGAAGAGTCTGAAACTTGGGGGAGGTGATAGAAGTGAATTAAATAAAGAAGAGCATAGTTAAGTTTCAAGCTATCTCCTGACCTGCCTGGTTATGTCCTTTGATATAGTCTAGTGAACTGATTAAATCAATGGGATATGCTGAAAATTGGTCTGCCCCTGGAAAAAAAAAAAAATTGAAGTGTTCTAGCTGTTTATTCAAACAGAGAAGTGCTGTCATAATCTGTCCGTTAGATATTAATTCAGTAGCTCAAAAATGTTTTACCACAAGATCTTATTCTTTGCAGGATAGCAGGCACAGACCAGCAAGCATTAACAGAAATATTCTATCTCCCTCCTTCTGCCTTCAAGCAGGCAGATTAACTAAACGTTTACTGAAGGATGCACATTAATTAATTGGAGAGCAATCAAACATCTTTTGTCGTACCTTCTTTCAGACTGATAATGTATGACTAAGAAGAAAAGTGAAACTATAAATCAGGAAACCATTTACCCAATGCTCAAGTGCAGTGGTTGTGCACACAGTTTGTTACAATACTCCCACTAGGTACAGCTCATCGAATTCTGCCTTTGAAATGCTCTAACAAGAAAGAATTGATTGTAGACTGCTGTTCTTTCTCTGGCCCTCTTGCATTGTATCCAGACAGAATGAAAAATGAAATCTCATATGAAATGGTATTTTGACTTGGAGGAATCAAATAAAAATCAGATCTTTTATGCCACAGATGTGTCCATATTTGCCATAGCAGGTACCGGCCTTTCACTCAGTTAGTGACTGTGTGGTAGTTTTATTTGCAGTTGCTCATAGTTTTAACATATTCCTTCATTCCACACCATGTAGACAGCTAGTCTTTGAAAATGAGAACTGATGATGCTTTAACAACGTCTTCCATGATAAAAGGAAGGTCCTTCACTGTGGGAAGAAAAAGAATTAGCAAAGCTAAAGAATTTATTTTATAGAAACCATCTTTGCTCTTTCAATAGTATAATGGATCTAAATAGTTGGAGCAATTTACCTTTTTGGTACTGGTGATCTCCAAAGGTGACAAATGGAAACAGCATGCAAACTCTTTTTAGAACTAAAATCAATAGTCCATGAAGTGCCTACTAAACAGGAGGTACATTACATTATAGCTTGCAATCTTTCTGCAAGAAGGAAAATGGATTACACTGGTCAGTTTGATGGTTATTTGACATAGTCGCTCCTCCTGTTGTTAACTCTGGCAGTTAACAACTCTTGGATTTAACATCTACAAACATTTGCAATGAGGACAATGAATCTGTCAGCCCATTAGCAGTGCGGATATGATGTTATTCCTGTTTCTCACAGCTCATGAGATTCCTTTTCACAAGTATTAAAGATTAGTTCATACATTTGCTGAGTTGCCAATGCCAAATCTACTGATTTTTGATTCTTTAGCTGACAGTTCAGGAATTACAGGTGTTTGTTTTTATAATTTTTCCATCACGACTGTGACTATAAGAAGGAAATTACTAGCCCCAGTTCTCTTTCTCATGCTACTCACCTGAATTGAAAGGAAAACCATACTGTATTGCCCCAAGTGCCATTTCTAAACCTATTTACACTTCTAAGATAGAAACCCAGATGCCAGAGGGCATCAGAGAGAGGGAAATCTGTATCACTGATTCAGGTCACCACAGTCCATGGGTAGAATGTGACTAAAGTGTTAGGATAGAAATATTCTTTATCCTAGCCTTTCTTTAGACTAGTGTATTCTCTTTCTTGCATAAAAATTTAGTGGAAAAAAATGTTCTTGTCATCTGAGCATGCAGAATTAATTAACCCACTGATTAGCCACCACTTTAAGGATCTAAATTCCAGTATGAGGTGAAGAAACCAGATTATAAAATCACAAAGACAAATAGAATGAGAGCTGGTAGATGCTGCTGAAAATGGACAAGATCTAGCTATCCAGACTTTCAACTCTAAAGTAAAAGATTTAAAGTTCATGTGAGGAAGGACGAGGATGAACCAGAACAGTTAGGAAATCACAACAAAAAAACCCCACTTGGCCTCAGTTTTAAGACACCTGAAGAGATTGTGCATGTCTTCCCACTGGTCTTTGGGCAAAGTCAAGACATCTGCTGCTTTCTCCCAACTTCATTTTTAATAAGAAAAGGAACAGGCACTCACCTCCACTGAAACCAAGTTTGCATAGAAAGAAATAGGGGTCTGTAAAAAGGTTTCAAGAAACCACAGATAGGGATGAATGATGTTTTGTATAGTCCATCGTCTTAACGGTTTCAATCAGCTACCACATGTACCACATCTTCCATCTTCTCTATCTTGCCTTTCATGTAGTCATGGGGATCTCCCCATGATTAGTGGAGTGAATCAGGCACCTCAAGAAGACAGTAAATCCAGTAGGTAGCCTGCCTCCTAAACCAGAGGAACCACAACACGTCTGCATTGTGTAGATCTAGACTACATAGTATTTCAGAACATGATCCACTGGCAGCATGACTCAGACATGTCAGAAACACTTGCTGAAGAAGCAAAGTTCACCTGAAAAAGAAATCCAGGCTTCAGCTTATGCCCAAGGCTGGTAATCAAAGATGGTAATCCCAGAACAGATTCCTTTATGCTTGCAATGGGAAGAAATACATTCTTTCATAAGATGTCATTACAGAAACAATGATATAACCATTGCCTTTTACTTTCTCTTTCCTTGTGGAAAGTTTTCCTATTTTATAATAGTTTTGACTGGAAGATTACTGTCTGTTTTTAAGTTTCAAATTTCACAGCTACAGCTAAAGCTGTAGATTGCATTTCTCCATGTCCTCTGCTAGACACCTTAGTAATCACTTTGAAGAGACAGAAACCTGCTGGGCTGCATGGCTTTGCTTTTCAAGATTTGAAAGAAGGTCCTTCCCAGCTTTGAAGTCATTCCTTTGCTGAAGTCATTAGCAGAGAAGATGGACAGCAAAAACACTTCAGATGTAAGATGTTACACCATTAACAACAATCCTCACACAATGGGTTGGGTGAAGTCAGAAGGGGGCAATGGACAGAGCATTAAATATCACAGCTAGTGCCCATGTTAGTATAGCTAGTATGCATTGTTCTATGGAGACTCCATAACTACTAGACTATATGGGAATTAAATTAGGGATACACAGATTTTAAAGAACTGAAAGGACCCTTCAGTCCATCTTTCTATGTTCACAAATCATAACATTTCATACTGAGGGTTTGGAATCAGCTGTTGAGCTCTTATTTGTTCATATTTCTTCTACAGTGGGGAAGTCTGGAATCAGTTGCATTTGTAGGTCTCTTCCTCAATCCATAGTCTGACACCTTTTGTTCTTGAAAGTGAAAAGAATTAATATTTTCAAAGCCAACAGAAATTTAACTCAGGAAAAAGCACTCTTATCTCGTACCAAAGAAGCATTTAACAAGAATGATAACCTACTGCAAACCTACTTCCAACTACACAGATGTCTATTTTCAGCTTCAGCTGCAATCTGAGGGAGTTGTATGGGATATTTCCCTGATTTTCCTTTAATCAAAAGCCAATTTAGACTTGAAATTTCTCATACGTCAATAATTCAAATGAGAATATTACTATGTTTCCTTTAGTATTGATCTATGAACTTTACAATTATTGAATTTTTGAAATTTAGTGTTGCCCAGCAGATCAATTTTAAGAAATGTTTCTTTTTACAGATGTAGTTATTGCCTTTTTTTTTTCCCGTTTCCATTATTAGAATCTTTCCTGACAAGTGACACTCGTTAATATGTTTTGTTTCACTTTTACACCATGCTAAGCCTTCAGATAGCTTCATCAGGAACATTATCTTCATGGTTAACAAAATGAATTACCCTGTTGGCTATTTTTAAGTGTTTTTGCATGGACTTACAGAAGCTTAACTTTGCAATCCATATCCCACCCCACGATTCACATTTCATTATGAAGCTCAAGCCACTGTAGAAATGGGGGTCCATGCAGGGGATCTTTATACCAACATTTAAGCTACTTTAAAGCTGCACTTTAATCCTAAATAAAAATGCCACAGATACAGCATAGGATTCAGAAATCCTTTGCTTAGAGATGGAACAGTTCAATAAATGCTGATTTTGCAGTAGATGCACCAGGGACTGTGCCAAGGTGATTCAAAGTCAAAAAACTGAGCTGCTAAAACCTCAGTGGAAGTACTGAACCTCCCCCTGGAACTATACTAGTTTGTACACACTGTACCAGGGAGACTAACAAGATGTGCTTATTCCTAAGATCACCAAGGAACGTGCCTATTACAGTGCTGTTTTTCGCTAGGTGTTAACTCATTCTCTCCCTTACAGCTGATCCAAACAAAAGCACGTCACAGAAATACACCCACTCTCTCAAGAGAAGCAAAGCAAACTAAAATTCCATGCTGAGATCCCATTTGACGCACTTGTGCCTTTAAGTCCTTCTATTCCAAGGGGGTCACAATTTAAAAAAAAACAACAACCCAACATACAAGAGTCGTGACTGTCTTCAGCAGACACTATTTCACAACAACAATTTCACAAACTCCTTAAACATAAATTTTCTGCTCAACCTGCTTTCATGTGTATTTGCCAGCTTAGATTACTGGAGGTCTAGTAAGCACAACTTAAATACTTGTAAATGTAGTTCTCTAAAAGGTGACTTTTCACAGAAAATGGCATGGAAAAGAGTTTTTGCCTTCAGATGCTTATCTGTGTGTATTTTTCTTTTTAGAAGAAATCTGAAAATTAAGCTAGTCTTCTAAATATCATGAACTGACACAAATAGAGTTAATGGGAACAAAAGAATACGAGTGTTCAATAAACTAAAAGACAAGGAGGTGCTAACATCTGTGAATAAATGAAAACCTCTCCAATTAACATCTGGATATTACACAGAGACACCATTCCCTGGCATGGTTGTTCTCTCAAAAATTCCACCAGAGGAGACCTTCCCTTTAAGTCAGCTTTGGGATTTACTGCTCTGTTCCAAAGCAACCATATATGTGTTGTTAAACTCAAGGGATCACGTGTGATAGACCAGCATTTAAAACTGGTCTTACCTTTTTTATCTGTCAGCTTTTGCTCTCCCTAAGAAATTCAGACAAACTTAACCAAGGATCATCTACCTTTCTGTTTTCAAAATGATTCTTCAACCTAGGTAATGAAACAATACAATGGAAAGTAACAAGGTATGCAGCCCCTCTTCCCATTTCATAGAATCATAGAATGGCTTGGGTTGGAAGGGACCTCAAGGATCATCAAGCTCCATCCCCCCACCGCAAGCAGAGCCACCAACCTCCACATTTCCCATATGGTATAGTATATGGTATGGTATACTCATATGGTATAGTACCTCTTAAGTATTACAACCAAAAAAGGCCAAAATATGACCATATATGACCAAAATAAACAGATCTTCAGTGACTTAAGGGAACAGTCTCCTCTATAGGTTTTACAGAAACTTTAGAAAAGTCTGCATATATAAAAAGAGAAATAGCCTATATTCCATTTGTGTTACATTATATGAGTGGCTGTGTATCAATACCCAGATAACACTTTTAGCTTCATTAGAGATGATAAATACTACAGAAACTTTTATCTCAAAGCAATCTGCAAAGACATGTCTTCATCCAAGAAATTGGGCTGATGTCAAAAGAAGTGTTGCAGCTGAGGAAAGACAGTGGTTTCAGGACTCTGCTGGGTCTCTGCTTGAAGCACTTTGCCCCATACTCCGTAGAATATGGAGGCACATCTTTTACCATGCAGGTTACACCAAAAATTATTTAGAAAAGCAACAATCTCACTCTTGGCTTAGTAGATTCTCTCCTTGGTCAAAAAGGCTTAGGCATCATCACAACACAAAATCTGAATAGCATTCAGGCTCCCCTGGTTTAACAGCCTTTTAAAAGCACTGCTGTCACAATCTGGTCAAGTGCAAAGTGCCTCTAGGCCAGCCTTATATGACATGGAAACAGCATGAGTTTATAATTATGATTTCCAGACATACCAAGGGATTGACATTTTGCCATGTTTGTAGACTACAGTATATTTTTGCAAGCACATAGATGTTTTTCCCATATAGATCTCTGAGTCCACCTGGGCATGGTCCCTCTCACATACAGCCCATCTTCAATTCTGGGGGGAAACTTGTCAGACAGTATTGGATTCTGATACAAGATGACAAGGTTCCTTAGATCATAGAATCATAAAGGCTGGGGAAAAAAAACAAAACCAAACCAAAATCAACTATGCCAATATCTTACTACTCTTTCTGAGAAGAAATTTTTTCTAACATCCAACCAGAACCTCCCCTGGAGCAACTTGAGGCCATTACCTCTTGTCTTATCACTATTATGATTATGTCAGGAATCACAACTCATTTGCATGACCTCTGCTTTCCTAGCCTTACTTCTAGAAGAGCTGGAAATCATTTCTGCGTGGCATTTCAGAATAACAGTGAATTCTGAATTTCTTATAAATCTTCACTCATCACTCAGAGCTGAATACAGAGACTTCAGTCATCCCAGAATTCGTTGAATTCATCCTTTTCAATACAAATATTTGACATTATATGAAAACAACTCTAAAAAAAAAATATATATGAATGTGCATAAAATGAAGTGCTCCATAATTATAACCTCCCTTAATTAAATGCTGAGCACTGTTTCTTTGTGGGGTGGAGACAACGGGCAGAAGTAAGCCACCTTCACATCAGAGGGATGGTCACAGAACCTAACAGAGCTACTGTATCACACAGGTGCTTCTGGAACCTATAAGAATCATAATACCTGACCACAAAAGTGTGGCCAAGTTGCAATTAAAAAAATGACACCACAGGCTGCAGCAAAGATGCATAAAATCTCTATTTGCATACAAGGAAGAGAGAAGATTGCAGCACTGGCACTAGACTGTGTAAACTGAAAGTTGTTGAATACTGGACTGGGGTCAAAACATGACTGGTATCACAAGCAACTTTGAATCGGTCCAAATTATCATTATACTATTCAGTTTTACTACAGAGGCTACTCAAAACTTTCACACTGTGCTTTTTCAAGAAAACAACTGAATCTAATTCTGGAAGGAAAACAGCCTGTAGTAAAAGGTGAGAAAGGCCCCATAAGTGAAAGTAAAAAGGCAAGAAGGCTTCACAGTGACTGAGAATAAGGGGGACGAAGGGGAATAGTTAGTTTATAGAAGCAAGAACATAGAGCTTGTTAGAAAAATAAGGGATGGCAGACACTGGGTCTGGGATAGTGAGGGAGATGAAGGCTATAAAGATAAGGGTTTCAGAACAGCCCGAGGACGTTTGGGAGGGAGGTGGTAGTTGTCCACAGGGCAAGAAGAAACCAGTTTGGGGGGGACGCCCCACTGAAAGGTCAGAAGTTTACAGCGAGAAAGATCAGAAGTCTTTGCGAGGAAAACTTCATCCCACGACCCACTACACGCGCGCAAGAGGGAAGGGTCTGCATGCTAATGAACTCTCAGGGGTGTAATGAATATGTATCTGAATTCTGGGAAAACTATTGATTATGTGTTAGTTTGGCCTATATCTGTAGCACGATGTTTCCAGACGATGTTTCCAGACAGTGTGCAAGTTAGGAGGAACGATCCTCCTTGCACCCGGTATCTGCGCAGCACTGATTAAACCATACCTGCTTTGTAATCTTATTTGGGTTACAGAGTTTGACTCCGCATGTCAGTAGGATGGTCATTCCTGAAGACAATGTAAAATCAATATTCAGAAAAGAATTTTTGAAATGAAGTAAAACAAACAGCTGCTGTTCAATGACGGTTAAAGAATGTAGAGAAATTCTTACAGTAGAAACTAGAAGAAAATATACTTCAGTGCTCACAAAAATTTGTCTAAAAACTAAAAAAGAGCTGCAGCTAAGCCTGAAATAGAACAAAGCATGCCAGAAAATAAACAACAGCAACAACAACAAAACAAAAAACAGGGGATAGAGAAAGATAAACAGGTAGTCTGACTTAAAAGTTCAGCCCGCAAATATCTTTAAAAATCAAGAGAGAAGGAGCATAACAGCGAAGAAAAGGTAGGAAGCGAAGAACACTCTCTAGAAACTCATTATGGCTAAAGATCTGACATTGCCCATTTCATTTCTGAGGAATATCCGGAAAGGCCATCAAACTAAAACCCAAACCAATTAACGGGCACTTCCACAGATGCTTAGTGCTGAGATGAAAACACTTCCAAATCACTTCAGTGTATAGGGATGTTTCAAAGGTCTCAATCAAAATGTGCAAAAAACCTGTGAAAGAGTCTAATAATGCAAACGCTTATCAGTGGAGATGTACCTGCTAAATGTCATATACACTCTTTTGAGGTCATGAATAATAAAAAGACAAAATTATAAAACAAATGTTGACTCAGTTTCAGTGGAAAAATCCATTTCCAAATGGATACATTTTTCTACCTTTGGAAATATGGTTACATTTACACATATTCTAGGAGAAGGCCTCACTTTTTAGTGTGAAAAAATACTGATCTGTAATGTATTTTTCAAACCTATGACAAAAAAATTCTACGAGAAAACAAGATATATTGATTTTTCTTTTCTTTTACCATTTTGTGATTCTGATTATTTGGAACTTTCCTTTTATAGAACGATGGAATACATAGAATTTTCTGTCTAATTTAGAAGGATAAAAAAGACTGAAATATCACTTTCAATACTGGAAAGCCTTTGGCCATATCATAGACTGCACATGCTTGCCATCAGCAGTGTAAAAGAAGGTACATCTTCTTAGCAGTATCTGCTGTTGATACATGGCAGTGGGGTAGTTTTGCTAGCTGCAGATTTGCAGGTTTGAAGATTTGGCAATGAAAAGAAAGAAAGAAAGAGATTCCAGGATATAATGTTCTCTTCTAGTGCAGATGGATAGCAGGGATTATAAAACTCTGGTAGCAGGAGGTAGCCGATACCTGCTGGTCACAAGTCAACCACCCTCTTTTCATGGGTACAACAGGATAAAGTCTATGTTTAAAAAAGCTACATAATTCTTTTTACATCATATTGTATCTGTAGAATAAAACTGTATGATTTCAGTGGATAATATGTCTCTACATATTAAAACCATATAATGCCTTTACACGCCTTCTCTTGAATGTACACTCTTGTGTGTAAAGAGCAAATAAAAAATACACTGCTTATGCAGGCAGAAAACAGCACTCTACCTTACAGTAGTAGGGAAATAACTTACTGATGCCTAACTCAGAGGTGGGTTTCCATGTATTAGTAAGCAATCATCAGTGAATTGCTTCTTCAAGAACTAACTGAATTTCCAACATCTCGAGCCCACATCAATTTTTAGTACTGAGGACATCTTTCAAAAGAATTCCATAGCTTAGCCAGCTAATACTTGGGAGCCATATTTCCAGCAATTTGATGTCTTTTTCCTATTTGCTTTGTGCAGCATTCTGGAAAAGACTGTGTTCAGTAGGTCCCCTTCTGGGCCACCTGTAATTTTAGAGACAACATTTGTTTTTCTCCCTCAGTTGTTTCCTGACTGAACAACTGTGCTCATGTGATCATCTGTCAGACAAAAGCTACCCTATGCCAATTTGCTGCTTTTCTCTGAACCTTTTCCAATTCTTTCACACTTTTTTTGGTAGGGAAAAAAAAAAAAAAAAAAAAAAAAAAAAAGAGAAAATGGATTAGAAGTAATGAATATGTTCTTGCTTTAAAAGTAGCATCAAAATACCAAGGCATCAAATTCCTAGGATCATAAATCCTTTAAGAAGCATACTGGTTCTCTCTCCGGTATTTGTCACCCAAATCAGACAGCATCTCACAGAGCAGAGCTGAATGGACTGGTTTGGGAGCTCATAATGCAACAACATACTTGTTATGACATCATTTATTAGCAACCAGCATCAGATAGGAAAGTATACAGAGTGTATGGGAACTGCTGAATCACAGCCTGAACCGCTGATTGACCACCTGAGAAGAGCAGTGAGTTGGCCAGAAGGGGTGGAGCCTGGCTCCACCTCTCCTAGACCCCAATTAAGAGCTGACTACCACTGGGAAAGGATCTCTTTTGGAGATCACTCCTCTTGGAGTCTTCTCAGTGAGCCCAGGACATTGGTAAGCTTTCCATCCATTGTTCTTTAGCATGATAACCTGTTTAGCCTAATTTCCTTGTATATTTTTTAATTACAACATCCGTATATTCATTGATTATACACAGAGAAATGCTATAGATTACCTCGTGATTCAGTGAATTCTGAACAATTCCTCCTTAGCACCCCAAAGGTAGATGATATGTGCCTACAGAATTAACAACAATCCCCTGCAAAGAGATTAACTCTACTTTAATAAAACCAAGGAGTCAGTTTTCTAAAAGATTCAGGACAAGACAGTATTGTCAGTTCTCAGTGAGATATGAGCTTCTAAATTCTATCAACTTTGCTCCATAATTCTTCAAAGCAACTTGTTGAACAGTGCCATATATCCCAAAGGATGTGCCTACCTTACTGCTCAGTGATTGGGTACATCTCCAGTTGCCAACGACCACAGTACCGCAGAAAAGGCAAAATTGCCTTTCCACTTCCTGCCCTGCACCCTGCTGTTCCATGTGTTCCTTCTGATTTTCACAGCAAAGTTTCCTTTCCAATGGCTGGTGCTGTTGCTGGGATGGGTTTGTTCTGTAAAACAAACTTTAATCAGCCAACACATAGTAAATGGCAAGATCAAGAGAACGGACAGTGTGATTCTAGTCCCTAATGTGCCCACAGGAGGCTTTGGCTCTGTTTCAAAACCTCACTCCCCGCTCCCCAACCCTCTGACTTCTCCCCTGCTGTTTGGAAACATTAATTTATAATAAATGTTCTTAGAATTGGTGATCCACCTTCTCTCTGCAAAAGTGAATGTGCCTTTTGTGCAGTAATTTGAATTACTCTAAGACGAGTGAGCTTGCACAGCAATTCCTCTCCCAGATTTGGTTCCTCATTGCATATGGACGTTTCCCTTGTCCACACTCCTTGAAATGGAAACTATTTTCAAAGAAAAAGCTCAGCTATTTTAGAAGAAAAAAGGAGAAAAATAAAAGCTCCCAAATGCTACACTGAGATGCAAAACACTATGCATTGCTACACAGAGATGAGGCATTGTGAGGAAATAATCATGTCTTGTATCTGCATAAGATGACTATTCAAATGTAAGTTGTACTAGTAATTAAGCTAGCAATTTGATTTTTCTGTATTTTGAAGTTCCCTGTAATAAAGGATAAAGCTTTCTTCAGCTCACATTTCCCGAGGCAAAAGCTACATGAAATACAAAAAAAAAAAAAAAGTCCACTGTCTTTAATTAGAAAGAAATTTCTATAAGATAATGATAGTGCAAGAAAGACCAAAAAGCCACTGAGGCAGAGAAAATTAAATCTCTCCTTTAAGACTCATCATTACATCAAGTCTGCCTTTGATGGTAAGTAGCCCTTTTTCTATGCGGCAGCCCACTCATAGATATAGAGCAACAAATAATAATGTAATGGTGTGAAGGAAAATGGTATTCAAACCATTCAGACTTCACAAACCTGGAGGTAGAAGTGCATTCTGGAATGTCATATGATGACACTGCAATAATCTTTTCCAATAACCCTGTGCAGTATCACACAGTGGGATGTGACAGGTGATGTTGATAACAGCACTGTGGCTGTAAGACCAGCCATGTCAGTGCCCTATATGTATGTCTGGGACACATGTTCAACTTTACTACTGGTGCAGAGGGGAAAGTGACAACTGTGTTCATTAGCGTGGGCAGAGACCCCAGTCCCTGGGCACCAGTATCTTTGCAGGGAGAATGATGGGTTGGTGTGACTGGAGGAGTGGCTTCCCCTCATCTTCATTTAACAAAACACTGAAATTTTCAGACTTAGAAGCTTGTATACCATTCAGACACAGAAATTAAAATCTGATTTTATATATACATCACATACCAACATGTCTCCATTAGTATAGATTTTCCAAACAGAAAGCATTAATATTAACTTATAAATCTTAATTAGGAACCTGTATTATCGCACTTGCACTTCAAGATGCATGTTTGCTCCCACAAGGTCTAAACTTTAGAGAAACTGAAGAGGGTTCATTGCTCAGATTTTAGTGAACTAGGATGAGCTGGTACAAGTCACAAAATGCACTAAGTATTGCAACACGCAAGGTGTGGTAAATTGGCAAATCTTAACTTACAAAAGTGAGCAACAAGTCTAAAACTGTAACTACGAACATTAATACTTCAAATGTGTTAGGCTACGAATAAAATAATCCACACAAGTTTGATTTCTCATTGAACCTGAAGCCCGCAAATATCTGTGTTAGATCCACTAGTGACTGTGCTTTCCATGAGCAAGAAATAGAACAGGGAGAGAGGTGGAAAATAAGTGCAAAAAATAAGGGACAAATATTAACACTTAATTAAAGGCTACATTCTGTATTATAAAATGTCTTAATTGTCCAAGTATGTTTTTCGTGGGCATGGCTAGTTAGACAGTGTCACAAAAGTTACTTGGAGGTAAAAACAGGGCCAGGGCAGACGTACAATATTTGAGATCACTCATGACCATGAGAACTCTCCTCCCTTCGAGAAATGAGAGGGAGAGAGCACCCTCATTAAAATTTGCAGTAGCTTATATACAGTTTCCAATGAAATGGTATGCAGACGAATCCAATCTTATTTTTATAACAGCTTTGACTCTGCAAATCATCTCCCCTCATTTCCATGCAGAGCAGACAGATAAGCAACGAAGGCAATCCTTCTGGAAAAGCGGCAACAGTAAGGGATGTAAGGTTCCCTAAGCACCATTTTGTTGAAGAGAGGCAATTAAGTAATTCCCTGACTCAGCCTAAATTCAGCATGACTTATTTCTAGAGCCAAGAATGATAAGAAACTGTTAAAAATAATAAAAAGTAAAAAATAAAAGAGCCAACCCATCTTACAAATGGCATTACAGTTGTTAAATGGGCCCCAGGGTACTTTACCAGACTGTGGATTATTTCAAGCAGGGGAATAAAAATAAAGAAGACAGAAATAAACAAGTAAAATAAATACAAATAATTTAGGCAACTGTTGCTCAGCAGCACACCAAACACCTCCTCCGCTCCCTCCTACAGGCTCACATTTCAGCAAGGCTGTTTGCTTGCTTTCAACCCAGTATGTGATTTGCAGCTGAAATCTGGCCCTGCCTCATATTGACAAATTTACTCATTCAAAGACCCCTTTCAGATTTGTATTAATTAACACTGGCTAATTCTTAGTTGCTGGGTTTGAGTCATGTCCTGCCAGCACCTCTGCTCTGGGAAATGGGTTAGCAGAGCTTACTTCCTGGAGCTGCAGCTTCTATCTCCCTGCTCAGCAGTTGGGAGTGCTCCCTTGGAGTGAGATTAATTGTATCACACATTCCATGGGAGAAAAACAAAACAAAAACAAACAACAACAAAAAAACACAAACCAAAACAACAACTAAAAAAAGGGACATTAAAAACATCTGTCTTTTTCATTCTTCCACTTCCTTCCACTCCCTCTTTTCCCTTATCTTTCCTTTCTGATTTCTGTATTAGCATGAGATACTGGCTTCTAGCTGCACTGGGAAGCAGTTCTGGCTCTTTTCTCCATTATAAGCAATGAACTATTGCCATTGACTTTTTAAAAGTGCTTCTGAATAGGTTTCATCCATCTCTTAATCACTGCTTTCCTCCTGTAAATGCCCACGAACAGTGACCTGAGAATGGGACATTCAGCAACTACCTTCGCTTCTTCTGCCATATGCTCCTCTCTTTGCAGCCAAACGCCCCGCTCCTGCTGTCACACCATGCAAAGCACACGTCATCTTTTTTTCAGTTCCCAGGGGCCTTCTGCTGGAAGACACTTTTTTCCTGCAGTTGGAGCAAATTCATCTTTTTGTTTATTCTTTGTTTAAAACCAAAATGCTTACCTCCCAACCTGCTAAATGAGAGATGCAAAGTTCTAACCAAGCAGAGTGCAAATTGGCAGCAAAACATCTCCCTGCCAGGGCTCATGTAGAGCAGATATCTGCTTTACAGTTCAGAGAACTCTTTTAGTTTCACAAGTATGAAAAGATCTATAAAAAGAAGAGCGAGTAATTTAATCACTTGAGGAGAATTGACAGGTCATAATCAAAGGAAATTAAGCACCGATGGAAGATAAAAACCTCAAATACTGTCTCAGTATGATCATATTGTTCAGGTCTGTATCTATGTATTCTGCAGCGGTTACATGAATTTCAGCACTGATTATGCATTCTGTGACAGAATAAAAGAGCAGAATCATTTTCCTATGTAGATGGTTTCTCTCTGGAGGAAGCAACAACTCCAGAAGTTTTTGCAATGAAGGAAACATAAGTATCTCTTGCTTTTAATGGGGTAATCAGTGTTTGAACACACTGAACACTAGCAAGGATGAAAGTCAGCTTTAAAAATGATTCCCAGGCTATCAGGTCTGTAATTCCAGTGTCTTCTCTTGTGCTCTTTCTGTAAATGAGGAAAACACTGTCTGATTTCTTGCCAATGGGGACCTCCCCAGACTCCCAAGACCTTTGGCATGTAATTGAGAGGGGTCCTGCTGTAAAATCCACTAACTTGCTCTTGCTGTTGACATACTTAAAATAGCCTTCTTTTGTTGTCTGGCTCCACTCTGGGCAGTGTCAGTTCAAGTTGAGCTTTCGTTTTCCTTGTGTTCTCCCTAAAGATGTGAACCATAGTTCTGTAATCTGTGAATCTGAAAATGTGAATCTGACCACATTTCCAGAGATCGTATTTCTTCTTCCTGCCCACATTCCAGCAGTTCCCTGCTCAGACAAGCTGGTCTTCTGCCCCACTTACTTGACTTGGAACACAATGGGAACACCTGCTCCTGGGCTTTTAAAAGGTGGGTTTTAAAGTGACCAGTTCTCATAGCCCTACTAAATCCTCTAGAGCAGATTCTCAGGGGATGCTGCTAACTAGCTCCCCAAGTAGCTTAAAGTTTGCTCTCTTAAAATAAAAGGTAGCAATTCTGATGACCATTTTTTCTCATTACAGCAAGAATTTTGAAAATAAGAATGTCGTAACCACTGCTATGATCTAGCATCACCCTTCCAACAAGGCCTTCTCTACTCTCAAGCAACAGATCCAGGAGTCGCTTATCCCAGTTGGCTCACTGAGTTCTTGTAACATAAAGTTATCTTCAGCATGTTCCACACTTGCAGCAGTGTATGCCATTTATGTCATGGAAGTTGAAATCTGCCTTAAGGATAAGGGCAACTAATTCAGAGATTTCTCCTAGTTGCCTGTAGAATAGCTCAAAAACTCAAAAATTTGAGTTTGCTTACCTGTCAAACTGATGGTAGTTAAAAGTTCTGCTAGTTTTTGTGCTTTTGAATACTTCAGAATACTAAAGATTCATTATTATTTCACTGGTAACCTGACCACATGCTGCCTCATCTCCAAGATGAAGCTGTCACTCTTGGTATGAGAAATGTTAAACAGAGATGGCAGAAGCGGCTAAAAATCATGGTCCTGAAACTGAGAAACAAAAGAAGAGCCTATAGAGATGAGGAAGCAGACTCGGTATCAATAGAGATACTACACTACGTTGGACTATTATCTGAATGAATCATTCACGATGGTTCTTTTTGTCTTATATTACCCTAAATAGAACATTGATAATTGGGACACAGTCTTATATAAAAACTGAACTTTTTAGACCACTTGCAGTTCCTGCATGGCAGCTTGTAACAGTGGCCAGGGAAGTCTACATGGTCTGATGCATCTTCAGAGGCTCATGGTCTTGGGAAGTAACAGAGTAGACCAAAGAGTGAGCACAATTACATATTTGGGGAACTGAGACTGGTAAGGAGTGTCTCATGTCAACGTGAGGCAATCAGTACTGCTTTGTGGACATTTGAAAGCATTTCTTTGGAGTTGATTGCCTTCGAATGCGAGGGCCCAGGAGTGTTTATTAGCTGAACACTTGGCCTGTGAGCAAGTGATTCCAGCTTGATACAGGAAATTGGGAGATTACACCAATTTATCCTGTGAAGGTAAGATACAAGCTGGTGTCTCCCTGCTTCCTTTTATCTGTCAATTGAAATTAGCATGGCCTGGAAAACAGAGGAGAGGAACAAAGGAACAGAGGAAATCCCAAAGCCAGAAGCTGTCACTTATTTTACACTTCGTAATAGCCACTGCCCAAGACTGTCTTACCTGTAAAGCTTATTAATCATAATTAGCAAATTAGCCAATTTTACTTCCAACTAGAGTAATAGTTCTTGTTAAGAAAGCTCTCAATAAATTGATGTCTTTTGTTCCTCTAAGTCTTGGATGACTCCATTATGATAGCAACATCTAACAGCTAGGGGAGGAACTACTCAGGAAAGAGGAAGAGATTCACTTTCCTTGAAACCTACTGTGCGGTATAAGACAGGAAAGTATTCACTTGCATGTCAAAGCAGAAATCAGTCCTCGTCTCCAGTTTTCTTGTTCCAGTAAAACTGTGAAATTGCTTAAAGAAATGAATGACAGAAACAAAGGGATGGGAGGCAGGGTGAGGGGACTGCGTTCTGTTCAAGGTGCAATCAAGGCACCTGTCAGGCTACATACATGTCTGATAAAATTGATTGCAACACCCAGTGGGTAAGATTGCAAGGTATTTCTTACCTGAATAACTATGAAGGCACTGCACCCACTCTGGGGACGTGTAGTTATGTAGCTAACATGAAATGACAATTCAAATTAAATGAATTGGATGCTGGCAAATGAAATGGGCTGCTTGCGCATTTCTAACATGAATAGCTAGAAAATGATAACTTCTCAGCATATCTTGAAGGCTAGAGCAGAGGCCAGCTCTGTTCTGATACAGCATGTAAAACCAAAAAGGTTAATCTAAGCTTACCAGCTACTTTCCTCAGAGAAAAAAAGAGCCTGCAGAACCAGATGCTTAGCTGATCAAGATCCATACAGAAGTTTCAGTGCAAACAAGAAGCTGTTGGCCATCCTGCATGCAACGACCATCCTGATTCCTAGCTCTTAGCCTTCCTGAGTGCAGTATGTAACTGTTGGAAGTTATTAGAGATAACAGCATGACAGGGTAACAAATCACACTGGAACCAAATGCCATTTCATGCTTAATCACCAACTAAGTATCACCAGGATGGAGAAGAGATTCTGAAGAGCAGAAATGCTACAGTCCTACCTCATGAACAACTATGCTGCGAGTCTGCCCTCCTCACACAGAGTTCAGGCCCAGTGCAATGAGCCAATAACAGAAAATAAATGTGAAAATCCTCTTGACGTAGATTTTTCCTCTGCAGACAGATTTGCCTCTTGCCAGAACCAATTTTTTTTTTTTGCAGTTTTTCTGCAAAAACTCTTCAAGAACTGTTGAAGCGGTATGAAAGGAATTGGACAGTAGGCACTGAATGGATCTGGTCATCCACTACAACTCTTCCTCTTTCCTCTATTGCTTTAAACTATTCTTCATGCAGCCTGTCATGCACTTCTTTCTATCCAAAGGCTTAAAAACCACTAGGTGCTATTAGGAGAGAGCTACAGAGACACAAAGGGAGCTGTGGATAAGGTTTAATAGGCCACATCTCCATGGCAAAATGCATTACATGCCTGATTATAGAGGAAGGCAGGTAAAAAAAAAAAAAAAAAAAAAAACAGAAAAAAAGGAAAGGTCTTTTAACTAACAGTACTCAAAATAGCTCTTGCCAGTCTGGCATGGGGCAAAATTAACACCATACCTCATTTGGTGTTTGGTTAATGGTGAGCACAGACACACATCAGAATTTTTCTGAAATGCGTCAGAAGGAGTCTTCTGTCCGCGTGAATTCTGGGCTTTCTTGAGAATAATGATTTTTAGAAACTAAAGTCCAGATGTCTCTCAGATTTTGTTAGTTTTGAATTAAAGAGTTCTAACATGTTCCAAGTTCACCTTCCTTAACCTACCCTCTCAGAAGTACCTGTGACATGTGAAGGCAGCCAAGCACCCAGTGCAAATGGGGACATGAATGGAAAGGGAGAGGACTGGATAGAACTATCACTGCTTTCAACACTTCTTGCAGTGGCAAAGCAACAGCAGACAGCTTGGAGGCACAGAATCCCTCCTCTCCTAATCATCTTCAAATACTCTGTCACTTTCTTGTCTGTTCATTTTGATTTAATTCTCTTTTCTGGCATGTTTTATTGTAACTGTATGCCTCTATCAGTTACACAAGGACAGATTAATATAAAAATCTGATGTCAAGAGCTCCCTAATCCAAATGGTCTCCCTTATGTATCTTCTAATACGTTACTCAGAGCAGTATTTTATCCCACAAAAAGCAAGTGCTGCTGCTTTTTCTATGTGTGGCCTATGGATTGATCCTTTGAATAGCCACGTGTGCAGGAAGTACCAGTTCTCATAGCCTGACAGCCTTCCTATGATTCAAACTGTAGTAAAAGGCCATTTCTGGAAGTCCTGGCTGACAACTTGATGAGAATAGGAAATTCTGGAAACAATTAGTCAATGAGCCAAAGGGCGCCATAACCATAACTAATAAAAAAGCTCTGCCCTTTTTTGGCAATTGCACTCAAAGACTCATCAAATACCGAATATATCATAATTAATTGTATCTCATGCCTTCTCACCTTCCCTCACAAAGAGGCAATTACTTTTGTTTCACAGACAACCTGTGGTACCTAGGAGTGAAGGACTAAGCTCAGTAGATGTGTCTAACAGACTGTGACAAGGTACTTTTCAGGGCCAGTTCTTTTCAATGTTTTTATGAATGATTTAGATGCAGGATTTGAATGCACACTGAGTAAATTTGCACACTGTACTAAATTAAGAGGAGCTGTTGGCTCCCTTGAGGGTAAAGAGGCCTTACAGAGAGATCTTCACAAATTAGGAGGGCTGTGCAATCACAAACTGCGTGAAGTTTAACAAGAGCAAGTGCTGGATTCTGCATCAGAGAGTGGGCAACCCTGGCTATGTGTAAGACTGAGGAAGGAGAGGCTGGAGAACAGCTTTGTAGAATAGAGTGTGGGGGTTCCGGCTAACAGCAAGTTGAATGCAAATCAGCAGTTCGTTAATTTCCAGTTCTGACTTTTTTAGCTCACTAATTGGATCTGGTTGAGATAGCAGAGTCATTATGGATTGGGGTCACTGATTTTTCACAAATGTGTTTCAAAGCTCTGACCTTAATTTCTGTTAGCAGTTGTCAGCATCAATAGTTCACATTTGCCCAAGCAGAAGCAGTACTTAGGTGCCCATTTTAAACATGGGACATGTTGTTTAACAGAAAGGCCTCGACCTTTTAAGGATGTCATATAGCTTACCATTTAATAATAAGATATGCCTCTAATTTTTCCTATGAACATCCATTTCTGCCCGTGCTTTAAGAATAATTATCAATATACAACTCCTAGCAACATTCCCCTTGTGGTTTTGAAATACATTTATGTACTTACCATTATGCCTTTTCTAGTTCAGGTCTGCAGCTCAGGGGATGTAATGGTAGCATGAAGCATTACTGGGATTCAAGTTTAGGTCTATCAGTTTGGCTAGCAGATGTGAGCAGGTGACCGGACTCAGAAAGATAACCTCTTCCAGACCTGTTCTTGTGAAGATGTAGCATGCAGTGGAGAGCAGAGCCAAAACATGCCCTCTGCTCCTCTGAATGCTGTTCATCACAGATTGCCAAGTACAGTTTAAACAATGTTTGTTTCCTTTCACCTGAGAAACTAGGGAAGTCTCTTTGAGATATGAAACCCCAAAATCTTGGGATTCACCCCACAGAAAAACATGTGTGACACATCTCCATTTCCCCTCGACACTGATGATATTTACTCTCCATACTGAGATCAGTCGCTGTGCACGATACGTGAAGGGGCAAGGAAAGCCTGAAAGACTCTTGAAAAACGATTTTACCAGCAGCGGGAGCTTAAGGAATTGCTGGCAGTCATCTAAATGTCCCCTCCATATCACTCTATCTAGAACTTGCAATTTTTTTTACCATTAAAACTTATTGCTGGTAAGAGAATAAGATAAATATTACTGACAAAAGTCCTCAAATGAAGTTTTCTCTCAAAGCTTTTTTTGTTGGTTTGTTTTTAACCTTCTGAATTACGTTAATATTTCTGGGGTGGGGGAAGCGGGGAAGATAAAAAAAGCCTGAAATAAAGGAATAATAAGATAATAATGTGACTACAAAACAAGAAAAGTTACTAGCCTTATTCCATTTTCCAGGAACTTCAGAATACAGAGATCCATCTGACAATAATTATCAAAACTACGTAAACTATAACAGAAAACAGTACTGCCAATGGACACCCCATACTTCCAACAAGACTAAAAGGTTAGAGGATAAACATGATAAATGCATCCGTACGTGGGAGTTCAAAACTTACCCCTAATGACAACAGGCATATCCTGAAGCATTCCTCTCTTTAGAAGTTGTATCTGCCCTTTAAAGAAAAAGAAGGGAAAGAATTAATTTCACAAATGATTAATAGCTCAATGCAGTAGCCTATTAATGGATGTGTAATTGACTAATAATTGCACACCTCTCTATGCCTCTACTTAAATTAAATCTGCCACCCAATCCATCGAGTTTGTTTACCAAACATGTTGTAGACTGAACAGTTATCTAAATGCTCCTCCAGCAGGAAAAGGGGATCAGCAGACTTTGGTCTTTCAGAACATCAGAAGCACTAGAGCCTAAATGGCTCAGTTACTCCTTGTATGGGAACTGCTGAGTCACGGCCTGAACCTCTGACCGATCACCTGAGGCGAGCCATGAGTCAGCCAGAGGAGCACAGCTGAAGGCAATTCACCTGTGCTGCCAGAAGGGGTGGAGCCAGGCTGCAACTCTCCTAGACCTATTTAAGAGCTGGCTACCAGAGGGGAAGGATCTCTTCTGGAGATTGCCTCTCTTGGTGTTTTGTGGTGAGCTCAGCCAAAGGGTAAGCTCTTCCCCTTATTCTCTTTTTGTTATCATTGTCTACTTTGCCTAACTCTCTTGATTATACTGTGATTATAACATCTTGATATCTATTGATTATACACTCCTTTTATTCACTGTGAACTGCAAGTGAGTCAGCTGATTTAATTCAGCACAGCTGGCATTTTTTAGGTACAGCTCAACCAAAGGGGCAAAGAAAGCTGACCTTATGTACTGTCCTGGCCATCCCATCCTTCAGCAGTGTTTGTGGAGGCTTTCTAGGAACTGGTTCTGCACATGTTCTCAAGAGACAAACCCAATTTAAAATGGGAAAGTTTCACAAGGTTCAAGTCTTTGCTTTCTCCTGACTTCATGGTTCAGCGAAGGGGATGGTGGAATGGTACAAATAGAAAGGAATTGAGTTGTGAAGTAGAAAATCTGTAGCGTGCTTCTTGATCTTCTGCTAAACTGCTTGCCTAACCTGCTAAATCCATTTTTGCTCTTGTCCAGCTCCTAATGCTAGAGTCTAGGATCCTCAGCACAGAACATCAAACCAGACAGTATCTAGCAGAGTATGGCCCTTCTCAGTTTGGTCTTTTTGCAAAATTAAGTATGCACCTGCTACAAAAGAGTGTATATCTACAAGAAAATAGATGTAGAAATATTTGTCTCCTTGTTTGTTCCTGTGTTTATCCTTGCAGTTCTGGAGCAAACTGTGACCATACAGACATACTGCGCTCTGATCAACCCTATGTTCATTTAACAGAAACAAGAACATTAAAGCAGATTGAGATTTTCAGTTCAGAATGCTGTTCTGACACTGCTCCACATACAACTGGTGAACCTCAACCTATCTTTCTCTGAGCAAGATTTAAGCAGGTATATATAACTCTGCAGTTTGCCATTGTTCTGCCCCATCCCTGGAGGTGTTTCAGGCCAGGCTGGATGGGGCCCTGAGCAATGTGACCTAGTACTTGATCTAGGGGTTTACAACTTCATGGTTGCAACTTCGTGATCCTTGAAGACCCTTCCAACCCAAGCTGTTCTATGATTCTATGAACCCAAGGCTTTGAGGCACTAAAAAAAACACTCAGCACTACTGCAGGTAGCCTTAATTTGAAGGTCTGGCACATTGGCTTTGCTAGGTAAGGCTGAGCAAATTTCACTGCATGCAAGCTCGCACTAAGATCTGGCTCCAGAAGGTTTTCACCCAGAAAAGACAGCCCCAAACCAGCTCCATGGGTAAACGTCCTACAAAGTACAGATAATTAAGGACATCACTTCCATAACTGAAATGAGTAGTACTAGATGAAAAGCAGCTAATCTTTTTCAGTGCTTTAATGAAACGATTCATCATATACCTCAGGGGTGTCTCCTATTGCTTTGGAATAAGGAGAGAAAGCAGGAATACTTACACTGTCAGCCCTTCCTGTTATTCAATTGTACTCTCAATACAGGATTGCCTCAAGCAATAAATACACGTGCTACAAGTACAAGTGGACCTTTTATAGTTTACAGACCCATCCTAGTACAGCTTGCAGGTTTAACAGGAGGCATTTCCTGAAAGTAGAATTTAACCACCCTGGAGAACAGAATTTTTTTTTCCACCCCTCCAGTCTATCAGTCTTGTTTCTTAAGGTAATTTAATCTTCCCCTCTCTCAAAAAGTACTAAGTCTTCTCGGTAGCAGAAGAGAACATCTGAAGAGGAAGAAAGTGAATTTCAGTGGAAATTCAAAGGCAATGCTGATTGTTTGCTAGGAGAATACCTGTGTGTACCTCTAGCTAGATACCTCAGCCAGAAACAGAAGATTTGCTGGCTTTAGTAGGAGCTTGCTAGCAGCTGTGAAGATAATTCAGGCAAGCTTGTTCTCTGACCCACTTGTTTTTACTTTCCTCGTTATCCTATAACTTGCACTTCTCAGCAGTATTACCTTTAGGAGGCTTAAGGACTGTGGGCCTTGGCAGATTGTCAAAGGTAGCTGAAATTTTTCTGAATTTTCATGCTTTTGAGGTTTATTCACTCAAATGAACTTTAACAAATGTGAAAAGGGCTGCCAAAGTCTAGCACTAGGAATGAGGTAGGAAAGAATGTGTGGTGCTGTCTGTTTCTTTTTGGAAATAGCTGACTTTCCAGAGCAATGCCAGCTATGGTGGGATGGATCCATTTGGAGCTGCAAGCCCTGCATATCTCAGCCATGGGAATCACCCTTCTGAAGATCAAGGGGCAATGCACAGGGGCACTAACATTCAAAGCCCCAGATAGCCAGGATGAAGATGTTATAATTTCCAAATAAGTCTCTAACTTTATACAATATCTTGATATGGTACATCACTAAATCACAAATTTATCACAAAATCCCAAATATATATCTGTTAATATGCAAAAATCCCTATTTCTACTCAGTCAGTGTAAAACAAACATTCCTCATTACTACCCCAATGCAAACAGGAAAGATTCTTGCAAAGAAATTAATCCAGCAATTCACTGTATGTTACATTTGTGTACATAAGTAAGACCCTGGACCCATGTAACCAGTTGAAATCGAAGTATTTATTGGTTGCTTTATCTCAATACTGCCGCTTCTAATAACTGGTCTTATCAGACTCATGTGGCACTGCATGTGGGCTTGACTGTTACATGACAACCTAACACTGAAGGTAGCTTTTACTACATTTCCCCACTGCATTGCGTTATTTATTAAAGACTGCACAGCAAGAGTCAATAGCTACCAGGATGGCTTCTTTTAACTGGTTTTCCATGTATCTTTTTTTTTTTTTTCCCCTAGGATACAGGGTTTCTGTAACTTCCTGTCAGTTTCCCTTTACTTGTAACCTTGCAATCAGTTAGCAAAAGTCAACCAGATTTAATGGAGAAGTAGAATATAAAGTCTATATTGAGTTCTGCAGAAAACAGGTGACAAGACAGAGGAAAACATGTTTCCCAGAAAGAAAAGTAGTGTGAACTCAACCATGTATCAGCAGCAGAAAAATCAGATAGGCCTTAGTTAAGACAATATGCAGTAAGGCAGGTGTTGTTGGGTCCACAACTCCTGGGAATATTTGCAGCTTTTTCTCAGTTCAGTATACTCAGAGTTATGCACAGCAGGCAATTGAATTCCTGTCTTAATGGGACTTAGCAAGTGTGACTCTGCTCCTGATCCCTGGCAATATGGTTAGCATAACCAGAAAGAAGGTGAAATGCACAATAAGTAAGCAGCCTGTTAGTGTGTCCCTCTGTCCCCTTCTCTCTTTCTCCCCTCTCCAGGGGTTTTGCACCAGGGTTTGGAGATACCCTTCACTGACAGAGTGACAAGGCCATTAGCATTATTGAGAACCAGGTGCTGAATCACCAAGGTGGCATCCGTTCATCACATTAGCATTACTAAATCCTAAGCTTTCAAGAGTGAGTCTACCCTGTATTCAACCATTAGACATAGATTTAGACATACCAGTATGGCTCTCCAACTTGAGAAATCTGAAATTTAGTGATATGATTCATCTCAATTTGGCAAACAAATCCGTGTTGAATTACTAGAATTTCTCAGAGGATAGAAATTCAGAATTTCATTCATCTCTAGTGAATAATTAATTGCTAAACTAATTAAACATTAAAATCCATAATGAGATGGAAGAGACTGACACATGTAGCTACCATGAATTGTTTTGTGATCGCAGCTGCCTGTCACCATGATTGGCAGCTGCTGTTTGCAACTTCTGTGACTCAAAAAAAGTCATGGTGTCTCTTTTTGCCTTGTCCTCTGACTCTCATTTGCTGCTTATGCAATTCTAGAACCTACTGGGAAGAGGTCGTATAAGTGTTAGTTATGATACAGGTTGTTAATATGTGACAAAAATTTAGAACTTTGGGTCAAAAGCTCACCGAAGGCTATAATCAATAGGTCCTCTTCAGCACTATTAACCTTTGAGTGAAAGCCCAGCTACAGTAAAATGAACTTCGCTCAATGAGCAATGAAGAGCAAATATCACATTCCTATGGAACAGGCTTGACAAGTCTGTTTTGAGTGAATTCCGTTTTTGAGAGCACAACTAGAGGTTCCGTTAGCCCATGAGTGACCAACAAACACAGTTTAAAAGCTCAAGAGAAGCTGAGATGAGTAGCTGTGTTGCCATGGGTTAACTAAAGCTTCCAGCATCAATGAAAATGGTAAAAAATATGATGGATAACTAGCGAAGTTTGATCAGGTTTCAAATGCATCTCCCAGGAGTAAGCCACACTGAAAAGGCAGCAGACAAAATGTCATTTATAGCTGCCTGGCCTAAAGAATTTGGTAGTTACAGTATGTATATTTGCAAAGCTTCTGCAGGGAAAAACAATATGGATACAGTTTTGTAGACACAACTTACTTCAAAAGCCAAACTCAAATGATGTATTTTACTGTACAACAGACAGCAGCAAAAAAGGGTTTAATGCCTATTTTTGACAGATCTTAGCATCAGAGTTCCAAGATAACTATTTTGGTGAAGCAATAATTCTAGATCAAATAGCACTTGGATATACAACA